ATTCAGGAGGGCCGATTTCAATGAGTTAAGGAGATTAGTTGGGGAGGCATGAGGTCCTGGAGGGGTGGGGAGTTGGGAGTCCAAGAAAAGTGGTCATTCCTTAAGGAGACGATCCTCCAAGCCCAAAGGGTGACAGGCCCAATGCAGATCAAAGGGGCAAGAGTGCTCAAAAGCCCCCATGTTGTAACCTGTCCCCAAAGGCATCCAGGAAAGTCTCAAAGCTGAAAAGGAGCCATACACCCAATGAAAGGGAGGGGTCATCACCAAGGAGGATTATATCTCCATTGCTTGAGATTGTAGGGGGGCTGTTAGGATGGCTAAGGCAGAGACAGGACTGGGACTAGCGAGCTGGATCAAAGATAACAAGAAGTCCTTTTTTAAATACATAGGGAGTAAAAAGAAGGTACCAGGTATTATGGGGCCTTGGCAGGACACGCTTGGAAATCTGGTGGTCTCACTATACAACAAAGCTAACCTATTTAACAAATTCTTTGCTTCCATTTTTCTGAGCAGGGACCAGGACATCCCCCCACCGGGATCTCAGATGGCCCCAGGGAAGGCACAGCCAGGTCCAGGGTCAGTGAGGACATAGTCAGGGAACTGCTGGTGGGACTAGATGTGTTCAAATCAGCAGGTCCAGACAATCTCCACCCCAGGGTGCTGAGGGAATTGGCAGAGGTTATTGCAGGACTCCAACACAGCTTTATGAGCACTTGTGGTGCTCTGGCGGGGTGCCAGAGGACTGGAAAAGGGCCCATGTGGTCCCCATTTTCAAAAGAGGGAGGAAGAAGGACCCAGGAAACTATGGAAAGCTCTTTGAGAAAATTATCCAGGAACACATCTGTGAGGGACCAGCAGGGGAGATTATGCTTAGGGGCAATCAACATGGGTTCATTAGAGGCAGGTTCTGTCAGACCAACCTGGTGGCCTTCTACAACCAGGTCACAAAATCCTTGGATGCAGGTGTCACGGTGGACGTAGTCTTTCTGGACTTCAGGAAGGCCTTTGACACAGTCTCCCACCCCATTCTCATTAAAAAATTAGGCAATTGTGGTGTTGATACCTACACAGTCTGATGGGTCACAAATTGGCTGGAGGGCCACACCCAGGGGGTGGTGGTGCATGGGTCATTTTTGACCTGAAGGGATGTGGGCAGTGGGGTTCCTCAGGGCTCAGTCCTCGGGCCTGCACTGTTCAACATCTTCATCAGTGACTTGGACGAGGGGGTGAAAAGCACCTTGTTCAAATTCGCAGACAACACTAAGATGTGGGGAGAAGTGGGCATGCTAGAAGGGAGGGACAGCTTACAACTATATCTGGACAGGTTACAGGGGTGGGCAGATGAGAATAGGATGTGTTTCAATACTGGCAAGTGCAAGGTACTGCACCTAGGGAGGAAGCATACCTACAGGCTGGGGAACTCCCTTCTTGTCAGCACAGAAGCAGAAAAGGATCTTGGAGTCATTATTGATTCCCAGATGAACATGGGCCGCCAATGTGGGGGCGCAGTCAGGAAGGCTAACCTCACCTTGTCATGCGTCCACAGATGCATCACAAGCAGGTCCAAGGAGGTGATCCTCCCCATCTATATGACACTGATCAGACCGCAGTTGGAGTACTGTGTCCAGTTCTGGGCACTGCACTTCAGGAGGGATGTGGACAGCATCAAGAGGGTCCAAAGGAGGGCTCAGGGGAACAGGGACTCTCCCATTGCCTGCTGGTCCCCCTTGGCAAGTTTCTGGATGGCCACCAGATCCCCCCTCAGCCTTCTCTTGTGGAGGCTGAACAGGTTCAGGTCCTGTAGCCTCTCCTCGTAAGGCCTGCCCTGCTTCCCCCTGATCATGCCCTCCTTGCTACTGGGATGCATGGAATTCCTCATATAAGTAAGCCTAAGCATGTTTTCAAGATCAAGGTCTGTATTTTTAAAATGACAATTATTGGTAATTTTAAAGAAATACTTACCAGCCACCTCTTCAAGGTGATGGGGTTGATGTTAAAGTCTTTCACCAATCCCAGGTCATGGTACATATGTTCCAAACAACTCAACATCTGTAATGATGAATGGACAGGTTTCTGTTTTGATAAACAGGACCATCGCTTACAAAGCATGCTGTCCACTATAATATAAATCTCCTGACATGTCCTAATGAATGGCCAAGCCTTATTGTCAAGGATGAAAAGAAACTGTTCAAAGATACCAAGATCAAAGCCATTTCATGAAAGGTGTGATCCAAAGCCTACTGAAGAGAACAGAAAGACTTCTATTGACTTGGAGCAGGCCCTGAATCATCCCAGGGCTCCTTAGTTATCAGAGCACCTAGAGATCATAAGTATTTCATTATTTTCATTTTGCTAATGGAGCTGGTAGATGAGCCTGATTCGAAATGAAATTAAGTTAGCAGAAGCCCTTCCACTGACTTTAGTGGGCTGAGGACCTGCCCTAAATGCACAGCAATATGTCAGTGGAAGATAAGAGCTACTGGTAACCAAATATGCCTTTGGCTAACTTCCTGTAGGGTTTGTTTTTTTAAAATCAAGAATTCTTATTAGAATAAATAGATTAAAAATAAAACCCTTCAAATTGTAAAATTGCAAAATCTCAGCAGGTTTGTGAATATCTGTATTCCAAAAGCATATCTATGAATTTCAGCAGCTGAAACACAGAGGCCAAATGTTCTTTGGAGACACCCACACAACAACATACATTTCCCATTTTCAGAACAGAAGGCAGTTACTTCAGCTCTCTAAGCATTTAGAAATATCGCAGAAAAAGGACTTTTGTTAATAGGCTACTTGGGTCTTGCTTTAAGACAATTTGACCCAGAATCTGTATCTTAATTACAATGTCATGGGAATAATGTTATAAATATGGCCATTGGCCAAGGAGATACTTGCATTATAAACTCCTGTGTCTCATGTACTCATAAGCTTCCGAGAAAAATGACTTCCTTCGGGGAAATTTCATGCGTCTGTCAGCCTACAGTTCATTTAATATGTTTAGTAAAATTACATTATGGCTGCCTTTGAGTCATTCGAGTGTAAAGAAAACAGGCTTTCCCACAAAACCAGAGAAATAATGTCAGAATATTGATGTGTGCTTAGATAACACTATCACAGTTTTGCTGGAGAGCATCATATTTAGCCCCTGGGTCTCAAGGTAAAAATATGTGTTTTGCTACTCTTTCAAAAAAATTGCTACTGAATAGTAAATGAGTATAGGCCTCATTTACTCTTACCAAGTACAACTATGCCAGATATGGGTGCGATTGTTATTTTACTAAACTGGTAAAAGCCATAGTGTAGATGCAGTGATATTTGTATAAAGGTGCTTTATACCGATACCCTTCTATATATGGGAGTAGCTGTACCAGTACATGACATATCTATACCAATATAAATGTACCTACACAAAAGGGGTTGTATCACTTTTCCTATTTTTGCACTAAGGGGCAGAAATTTTATTTGCAGACAAAGCCTTTCTCCGAAAGTGAAATCAGCATACTGCACATCTGTTGTGCTTCATTTTCCTTAATAATTTTATTGTGTATCTAGGGCAATTATCCAGCAGGCTGTAAGTAGCTGTAGGCTAACTGAAGCATTTAGTTTAGTCTAGTATTCCCACAATTTTTTCCTTATGCTTCCTTTTTTATTTTTATTTTTTGTGGGGGGAATAGGCAATCAGATGCAAAATTGCAATGTAGACAAAACTCAAAAAATACACATTCTCAGTATCTGCAGCAACTCTTATTTATACATATCTGGGGGCATCAGTCATTCATGTGTGGCAGGGCACTTGGTGTGACTGCCACTTCAAGAGGTCAGGCAGCTGGCTGAGCCACTAATTAGAGAGTCAGCTGACCCAGGGTCCAGCAGGTGAGGCCAGGCCTGATCAAGGGAATCACTTGATTGGAGGAGGGCTGGGTGTAAGTCTAGAGCCTGAGAGCAGGGCTGGTGTAACATCTTGGCACATTCAATACAGACATACAGATAGTTTAGGCTCAGGCTTTTTGAATGATTCAATCTTTGCAGGTTAGTTTAACCTGCACAGATTGAACTAGCATGCAAATGAATAGACATTCACTTTTGATTCCAGAAATGCAGGCACATGCCTGCCATGGCTCAGGCTAGAAGCTGGGGGGGTGCTAGAGCAGCCCTCCCTTCCCTTCTGCAGTGGCTAGAAGGCTGGAGGAAAACTGAGCGGGGTGGGGGGGTTCCCACGCCCTGGCAGGCTGAATATCATTGGGGAGGGGTTTAAACCCCACCCTGACCTGCAGGGACCCCAGCTGTGGTGTGCCTGGATGGGGAGGGGGAAAGTATCCCCTGACAAGCTTTTACAGGGCTAGGGAGAGGAAGCATGGGTAGTCCCCAGCCTGGCACCAAAGGATCAAGTCTCCCCACCCCACAACTGGCTGGAAAGGGCCCTGCCTGGCTCCTCTGTGCCCACCCTCAGCAGCAGCCATGGGCTGGCCTGGCTCAACCCCAGCCTCAGGTGAGGCAAGCAGATGGCAGGGCCATGCCAGCTGGCACCTGGTGACACACCTGCTTCTGAAGTGGCAAAATGGGGGGACTCCGACAGGGGCAGCAATCCTTGTCATGGTGTCCCAGGGAGAACAAGCTTCTTCCTGGTGCAGCGGGGGCTGTGCTGTAGGTAGAAGCGGGGCGGGCACAGCTACTGCAGCCTGTGCAGGGCGAGCGGCGGTGGCAGCAGCAGCACTGGGAGGGGTGGCTACAGAGGCCAAGGTGAATTTTGGAGTGGCCATAGTCCCCCCAAGCTCCCCCTAGTACCACTGCCACTTAGCCCCCTGTAGCCACCCTTCCCAAACCTGCCACTACTGCTGCTCACCCCGCGTAGGTTGTGGCAGCTCTGCCCGCCCCACTCCCGTCTGCAGCACAGCCCCTCCACTGGGAAGAGGCTTGCACTCCCTGGAACACCATGATAGGGACTGCTGCCCCTGTCAGAGTCCCTGCCTCTCTTCCCCACATCCCCTCCCCACATTAAGGCTCCAGTGGCAGGGGTGGGGGTGTGGCCAGACACCAGCCAGCATGGCCGCCTGAGGAGAAGGGGGCAGGGAGGGGGTATAAACATCAAGGCATGGCAGGTATGAGCAGGGGAACTATCCTTAGAGCAGGGTAATTTCTGTTATCTTCTATGTGAATGGGAGAGTGAACTTAGAGCCACCTAAATATGACTTCCCAGAAGCTTATTAACAAATTAATTCTATGAAATACATAATTCCTGATTTTTTTTTAATCTTTGGCATTTTTCTTTGTCATAGGCTATATTCACCTATGTGTACCTGGCTTGCATACGTATTTTTAAGATTTACTTTGTGATGCTAGTTTGCCACTCTGCCCAATCATTAAATCTTTTTTTTTTTTTTTTTTTTTTAACTTAGATAGGTCTCCCCCTTCCCTTTTTCCCACTCCATGTGGGACCCAAAAAAAGAATGTGACCTAAAGAAGAATGTCTGGCATTTGAAAGCTTGTCTAACTCTTATCGCAATTCTGTGGTTGGTCCAATAAAAGGTATCATCCTAAGAAATCCTTGCCCCTCAGATAATTCCTGGACCATCATGGCTACTGCATCACTCTTCTACCACTACCTTTTCCCCCACTATCATTTGTTGACTCTTGTTTCAGATTATATTAGAAGATCTGAATGACAGAGGCCTTGTCTTTCTCTTTCTCTTCCATGTTTCCACAGGAACTAACCCAGCAGGGCCTCTGGGAGCTTCCATACTATTAATAATGAAGATAAATAAACAAAAAAAATAGTGTGCATATATGTAGGTACATAAATAACTTAGACACACATGTCACATGCATACCTACATATGCTATTTCTATTTTTTCACACACAGAGACATTTATACCTATATATCTCTGCCTACCGATATATGCTATGCATCTATATTTCTACCTAGATTTCCACGTCTCTGAGTTTTTCAAACACAAAAATCTGGAGAGACTTTAAAAATTAATTGAATTCAGCAACATATCTAAGCATGTACTTAACTTTAAGCAGATAAGTAGTCCCATTGATTCTAAAAGAATTATTCATTTTCTTAAAATTAAGCACATACTTAAGAACTTTGCTGAATAGCAATGGATTTACTCAGACTAGGTGACATGAAAGAATGATGCACTTATCCTTGAGTGGCATACTAGTATGTAGATTATGAAGACACTTAAAACAACAAAAAAAACCCATGTGTTTCCATAATAAGACTAATCTACCTGGCATCATTAGAGAAAACTCCAGCATGAATCAGAATTAAAATTCAGACGTATTGATCTGTTCCCTCCCATCCCATCTTTAAAAGCACAAATTTAAACTTCCAAGTTAAGGGATCATGACAAATATATTAGGTAAGGGGTGGGGAAATAAAACAACCTCAAGTGGATATGCTGGCTTCATCCAGTCTTGGAAAGAATTCTGAGTCAGCTGCCAGCCCTGCTATGTGACTGCTCACTTCTAAAGATACATTTTAAAGTAAAAAAGAAGGGTCTAATTTCTATGTAGAATCCTAATATAAGCAAGGCAAAGGTAACTTTTACTTTTCTATAACTAGTCAAGGAAGCCCATATGCCACCCACCTAGGACTTACCTTACTTGACAGTGCCTTGTCTCTACTAAGCTTTTTCAGTGAGTTAGCTAAATGGAATGACCTACCTCCAGGTAAAAGCATAGCTATTTGCGCAGTGATAAACAGCCTCAATAGAGAGAAAAAACACCAAAGTCATTGGCATTGATCAAGCTAGGTGAACACTGAAAAGGGCAGTTGGTGCAAACCTCCATATTCTTCTCCACACTTGCCAGTCACCATGCTTATAGCTATATGGAGGACTGGCTACAGATCACTGAATTGAGCCTGTACTGCTGTCATTAGGCCTCCACTTAGAGATGTTGAAGGTACCTTTCCTAATATATCCAATGCTGACATGGGAGAAATGAAGCTGCAAGCACAAACCAGTTATTCACTCATTGCTTCATTACCTCATTGGGCTCCCATAGCCAGACGTCAAATGTTGGTTTCCGAAGTGCTTCTATGGTCTCTTGAGAAAGCATATACTGTAGACAAAATGACAGTCAGCATTACTGTGAGCTCATCTCATTGGAGCTCCTGGGAGCTGCTCTCTCCACACTCCATGCCCCATTTTGTGTCCCAGCTGCAGCTGGAGAATGCATGATGGTCTGTTGTTTTTCATCTTAGATGTTTTGCATTGTAGGGGGAATGAAATACTTCACTTCAGCTGATTTACCCATTTGTTTTGAATGGCTAGTTTGGGTGTGCTCTAAAGCTTATACAGTCATCAATTCTGTGCTCAGGGCTCCATTACAAAACCCAATTCAACCTCCAGTGTTGCTTCTGTTTGGGTAATTCTGGCTGGCAATTTTTTTTAATAGTCATCAGGAGGGTTAGAAAAGACACAGAAGTATGGTATCCCAATGCTATTGAGTCATGTTTTTAAGATACTGGATCCAAGTATTTTTGGATCATTTAAACTAGTTTAAGCCAACCTTTTAGACAGGTGTGCCACAAGTTATCCTTGCACCCTCCATAAGTGTGTCACTCTGATCCCCTTTCCCTGCCCACTCTGTTGCTCTGCTTTTTGTCCCCTGGCTGATTTACTGCTCTGCTTTCTGCTCCCTGCACAATCTGTCACTGTTCTGCCTGTCCTCTCCCTTTTCTCCCCTGTGCCACACACAGAGACAGCTCATGTCACTTGTGGCATGTGTACTGCAGGTGGCCACCCCGATGTAAGCCAACTCAGTTTAATTAGCCATTTACTACCATGGGCTTGAAGTGGTTTGGGGCTTTCTATGCTGAAAATATGAATGAAATTATTTCAGCCATTGAATGTCTGCCAGTTAGTTCAAGGGAGAAAATGGCTAATTAAACTGAG